CCTGCTCTATTTGTAATGGACTCACATTGGATTGGATCAGATTGGATCAAATCCAGCCCAATTAACACTCCCTATGTTCTGTCAATGGACTAGATATTGGCTCAATCTAACCCATTCCAATATAAAATCATTATGGATGAACCAGGTTCAATCCAATGCAATAAATGCTTTGGACCATTAAGTCTGGACTAATCCAATTCAATATGTCTTGTTGGTCTATCCAATCCGTCCAAATTGGTTTTGGATTGGATAGGTCCATTCACACCCCTACCGATCATAACCTGATTATATCGTGAAAAAAATTAGGTATTTTTTAGGGTGAAAGACAAATTATAGACATTTAGACCGGTCTGCAGAGCTAGACCATATATGGTTGGTTCATTTCAATTTGGATCTGCTCAATACTATTGACTGCTTGAGTTGAACCTCTGTACAGCTTGAACTCAGGCCAAACACTTGGAACTTTAACAAAACCACTTTAATAAGTGAAATTGATTTTGATCCACGGGCTTGCAATTTATGAGTGGAATATTTGTTTATTCATATATTTTCACATTTTTTTTCGTAAATAATATTATAATTTTCACTCACAATAAGGTCTATGCATTTTTACCACACATTACTGTGGCATATGTGCATATGTTAAAATAGATGAATTGAAAAACTACAAAAGATAGGGTAAAAAAAATAGAAACATTGGGAAAAAAACTTGAGAATAATTCCAATAAATGGGAAAAAATAAATTAAGATAATTTGAGTGGACGAACAGATCAACCCGTAAAAAGGAGCAATCTATTGCAAATCGAAGGGACCAAAAGTATGAACGCGCATCTGCGGCAACCCCGATGTTGCATGACCCGGCGACCTCCACTAACAAAGGGACACGTTGTCTCTTTTAACTTTTTTGAAATTTAACAGAGATATCTAATATAATATATAGAATATATTTTTATAATTATATTAAAAATAATAAATATTATATTATAATCAAATTTGGATTTTAATCAGATAAATTGAGATCCGAATCGGATCCAATTATTAATCAAATATACATTGTAACATCCAAAATCGATCAGTTTACATATATACATCATCCAAATTCGAGATAATCAGATGGAGCCTTGGACTTTTAATTATCATTGATACCCTACTTTCAGCTGAACCCCTTCTCTCTCAACAATCCTATCCCATTGGAATAACTCCGAAACACACCAACATTAGTGTGTTCCATTCGAGTCCGAATCTCCTGTCCAAGAACTTTGTTCATATTTATCGCAGTCACACATGGAGAACATCTCATCTTCTACGTAATATTATGTAAGAAGAGATGTTCCCAATTCATGAAAATAATGTATTATGGGTAAGCATGGGCAGAATTCTCGTGGGCAGAAGATCTGGAGTCGTCCCATTCTAGACCGAACTCTCCTCAACTTCTGTACACAATAAACTTGAGATTCATTTCTGTTATGTTAGCAATATTCGTAAATGTAAAATGTAATGCTTGATGAGAAAACATGTTCGATAGTACTGGTGCGTGACACAAAAACAACTAGTACTAATGCCATTTTACGTAAAAAGAACATGATATTATTATATACATGCATCCCCTTATCAGTTATTAAAAGACCAACTGTTTACCTTCTTTTCAAGTTCCATAGGCTATATTATGAGCCAAGACAGATTTTTAATAAGTCAACTCTTGTATTTTTATATGAATAAATGAAAAATAAGCGTTAAAGTGTTGTGTTGACCACATACCGTATACATTTACCACAAATTCATTTTGTTTGTACTACAATTAATCCAAATCAATTCAGATCAGATATAGCTTTTGCCCAATCTGATCCGATCCGTTGCAGCCCTAATATAACATCAAAGATAAGAGGTGAAGGGTGAATTTGTGATCTACATTGGACGTAAAACTTTTTGTTTTTATTTGGTTGCAAATCAAATTAATATATCTAGACACTAATATATTTATCATATAGTGAAATCAGAATCCTAAAAAAAGATGACGTATTCACAAGGTTGAGTCGAAAAACAAATGAACAATTGCGGCAAAGACATTCTTAAGCTTAGATAGAATGTGCAGATGTGCGTTCTAAATTAAGTCTTAATTTGGAAAGAGTATATATATATATATATATATACTGTAAATATATACAAAAATCATGCAAAATATAATATTTTGCATTCTACATATTTACATTTATACTCCTTTTAAATTGAACCAAAAAAAAAACAAAAGGTAAACAAAAAAAGGACAGATATGAAGTAGTTAAAAATGATTTAATTACTGCTGATCGTGATAAAATCCCATTGCCGTTGACAGATATATACATTCCCCAAATGCTAATGACACGTTGGCTTAGGCTATGTATGGAGACTAGAGACTAAAGGAAGCTCGGGAATCTCTTTCACTCACTCGAGTAATGCTAATGTAAGCCGATAGCTGGTTAGTAGGACCATCAGTCTGGTCTTAGGGACCAGCTTTAATTAGCACGATTCCACTGTTAAATTGGTGCTAATTATTTTATTCAGTTCAAGCATGCGCTTTGCAAGATAGACCAACATGTTTGTATCATATAAATTAGTTGAGTGGCACGTGTAAATAAATAAAACAACGTTCTGTAATCTAATAGTGGAGTTCAAATCAGCCCCCACAATACTGTCCCCCACAACATATCCCTGTCATGTATTGAAAACATGTCCGAATGATAATATCAAGAACGATGATTGGAAGATGTTCCCAATACATGGTGGTGATATAGTGTGGGATGTTGTTGGAGCAGTCTTGTGAGAGGCTGATTCGGCCTTCTAATAGTGGTCTGGACGTGAGACCATAAAAATGAGAGAAATGGTTATGAGCATTGACTTCGTGAAACTCTCGGAGAACTCACTCTACAATACAAATAATGTAGAAGTATATCTTATTTGGTGTCTTTTCCTGGTCTGTCTGTCATGTCTCTAGCGCTAGATATTCAACAGTACTGATATTGTCCTGAGATGTGAGGAACTCGAGTTTGAATTGGATGATGAGATAATAAGATCGGTGACATGTGAGTAGTGTCAATTGTATTAGATTTGGTTCAATCCGATTCAGTTCAATCTAATGTTAGTCTATTACAAATGGATTAGGTCTAATCTAATTCAATGAATATTTTGGATTGGTCTAATTTAATGCTTGAATTGTCTAATAATCTATTCAAATTCGTTTTAATTTAGATTGGTTTCAATCCAAATTTGGTCCATTGACACCTATATTCTTATCTTAATGGCTTAATCCAACCTAATTCAAAATAAATTTATTACGGATGGACTAGGATGGACCAGGTCTAATCCAATCTAATAAATATTTTGGACTGAATTAATTAGTCCAATCCAAYATGTCTCATTGACCCATTCAATCCGTCCAAATTGATTTTGGACTGGATGGATGGGACCAGTCCATTGACACCCTTACTTGTGAGCACAAATAGTCAGAGGCCTCGAGAGGTGGAATCCTAAGGAGAGATCTAACGAGAGTTCAAATCTCCTATCCACAAGAACCCTACCTATATCCACCCACACCTCACTACATAATATCTCCCGTATTTACATGTTATCATTCATGGAGAGATGTTCTTAATGTATAGTTACAGTGAGGTGTGGATAGAATTCTTGCGGGCAAGAGATCTGAATTTCTCTCTAAAGCTTAAGTCATTAAAGTAAAATAATATTTGGCTAGAGAGTCGAACTAGCTTTACGAGTTGTGCTTTGAGTGCAAGACAAGCTTGAGAATACTAGAGTGCTTAGATTGCATGAATGCATAGAGAGTCTTACCTTAGGCAGCCTGCCATCCTCTTAGACAATCCCTAGCTGAGCCATTTTTTGATGTGTCCTGGACGTTCCGCCATGGATCGGGCGATGAGGCTCAAAACTGTTGCAACAACTCGGGTGGTTGGTCCATTCTCACATGTGATGTAAGTGTCAACCAGCTGGTTAGTATTTGATAAGGTCRTCAATTGGTTGTAGTGGAGACTTAGGATCGAATCCCACCTGCACCTTGCACCTGGATAGGGGGATGGGCTACCCCTAGTCCTTCAAAATTATCAAAAAAAAAACAAAAAACTCGGGTGATTGGTCTAAAGTTGCTGATGTTTACCACGTGTCCCTCTATGGATGAGACATTTGGTATTTCCTTGGCACTGACTTGCCGGTCAGGTCACGCACACGAGTTCAAGGGGTGACACATCATGGTTCCTCCACCCGCCCACGTGTTAATCTTTAGTCCACCATGTCTAATCCTTGATTCGGCCACATGGTGGTCCTCGTTGGACTTGGATTATGGCTGCATCAACTCCCAAATTTTATTTTAGTCTACACTCGCCCCCTTGTTACTTTTAGTTTATTATCATTAGCAACTACCACTGAAACAACATTAATTAACAATGAATTTGGTAGAAGTAGATGAGCTAACTCCGCACCGGAAGTTGGTAAAGGTAGGGATTATAGTGTCACACTCGGGGAAGTTGAATCAATGAAACGACCTAAACAGCTTACGAGTAGTTAGAAACTAAGAATTGTTGTCTTTAGAATGAAATTTCATTGTTTGGCCATGACCAATTAATTTGACACAGAATGGAACCGTTTGATTTGATTCTTTTCTGGTGGGTAATTAGGAGAATTTCTATTCACCTTAAGATCTGCATTATCATGATCCTGTAAACTACTTGATTTCTGAATTATATTTTTTTTAAGCTTTCTACAGACTTTACTTCTTTATTTCTTTGACGGACTCTATTAGGACCCATTCAATTGTTAGTTTGGATTAATTTAACTTTAGGACACGTGGTAAGTTACGAAGCCAAGACCCTGCTCCTGTAAGGCTGTAATCCATACCCTACCCAAGCGTTTTGTCTACACTCTACACTTTCGTGATGGCTGGTAAGAGAGGAGATGCCCAAGTTTGTTTTTGTACATAATTACCCTTGGCCCTTGCCGGACTAGGAGGAAGGATGTAATTGTCTAAACTCTAAAGTTGATATCTTACAAAATTACAAATTATTGAAATTGAAAAACACAAAACAGAAAAGCAACAAAGAAGAAAAAGAAAGCAAAGGCAGAAAATAAAATTAATATTTAGATGTAACAGAACCGCATTGATGGCGACGCCGGCGAAAATCCTTCTACGGCGTCGCGTTCCTCTTCTTTCGGTGGTGAAGGTGGCGGTGGCAGGTTGAGATCGAAGCAGAGGGAGCTGATAAGCTTCTCTTTCCTCTTTTTTCCGGGAAGGTTGTCTTTGGAAGAACTGCCACTAGAGGAGGCTGACTTTGCCTCCCAATGGCATCTCTTGTGACCTCCAAGGGCCTGACCAGACGAAAACCTCTTGTTGCAGATCGAACACTCGTGCTTCTTCACTCGAGGAACACGATGACGATTAACGTCTCCACTGCACCGATCGAACACTTGGAACGTACCTTCCTCTTCCCCAGCTATTCCACCACCACCATCATCTTCATCTTCTTCTTCTTCTTCGTTTTCGTCGTTGTAGTCGATTTCGTCGTTGCCGAACTCATTGTAAGCGGGTGTGTTTTGCTCTTCGACTAGGGCGACTCGAGTATTTTTTACCTTCACATGGCCGGCACGGTGACCGCCGAGAGCTTGATGGGATGAAAAGGTCTTCCCACAGCTCTCGCACCGATGTTGATGGCGGTCTTTGATGGTCATGGAGGTGGTGCTGGTAGCTGTGGAGGCGCTAGAGGAAAGCATGAGAAGGAAATGAGCGGTGTCATGATCCTCCGATAACGATGAGGAGTAGGAGGAGGGAATGGTGGCAGCAGCGGCGGTGGAAGTGGTGATAGTGGAGTTACTCTGGCTGGTGGCCTCTCTCCCTCGCTTACCTTTAAGAGACCAAGTTAAGAGGAAACAAGGCTTTTCGTTGATGTGGGGCATCGGAAAAATATACCCAGAACCCAGAACAAAGAGTAGGAGCTTTTGAGGTTGCTGGGGATTTTCTCTGTTATTGTTATTTTCGGAACAGAGAGCAAGAGCTCTGTACTCAAAGACGATGAGAGAAGCAGAGGAGAGTGTTCATAACATCATATGGAAGTCATGATAGCAGAGAAGACATGCGCTGATGCGCCTCACTCYTATCACCTGAGACATACAGTCAAGTCATCCGCGGGCACTCACATACACAGTGACACCCTTTTGGCTCCGCCTTCTCTGCTGCTGCTGCTGCTACTGCTGGTAGTACCCCCGGCCGCAGGAACAATAGTATTCATTCATTCTTTGAAACGCTCAGACTCAGAGTCTCAGACCAACACAAACACACGCAAATTGAAAATTATAACAGCAAGCATAAAAGGGTTTTAATGGAACAGAGCAGAGCTTTGGATTAAACGTAAACAAGGACAAACAACACTGACATTCAGCCTATAAAGGAGGACATACTTTATTTCTTTACCTTTTCTCGATTTTTATAATTTTGCTGACAATGGATTTATAATTACTCTTCCCATGTAAGGCTGAAGTTTGAATACAAGTGATCATTGCCAAATGCCATACATTTTAGATTGGCTTGGGTGCTCTTCATGTTTATATTTTTATATTGCACATCCAAGAGGCATAGGTGCAATGCACATTTCTCTCTTTCTATGAGTCAACTTTCAATCAAGTAACAATTTGCCACGTGTCAAAAGAAGCACTTTACCCTACCATCTTTCTTTGAGGTAAAACCACAAAAGAACTCTAGAGAACTCAAGGTTGATTGTTTGGGCAAAATCATCCGGTACCCTGATTCAAGAATGCAGTTGACAAGAAAACTTGAGAATTCGTTTGTCTACTTGGGTCCCCTCGAAATGGTTTTAACTTTCGGGTTTTAGAGATACCAATTTGATCGAACTAAATTCAAGTTAAATAATAAATCTTGTATTTAGGGGTGGTCGCAAGCCGAGCTTCTCACGAGTTATTTAAACTTGGTTCAAGAAAATTTCAGTTCGGTGTGGTTTAAATCAAGCTTTGAATCGAGGTCGAGCCTAATATATAGCCTCTTTTGCTAATCAAGCCGAGCTTGAGTCTAATGAAACTCGACTTGTGAGGCTCGCAAATCTAGTATAATAAATAAATATTTTTTTTATTAAATACATACATACATACATATACATATAAATATAAATATATATAATAAATAATTTTATTTTATATATAATATTTTTATTTTTTATGTATAATAGTAAATAATTTTTGTATGTAAAATAAAAATATTTTTATATGTATATATATTTTTTAATATGGCTTGCAGTCGAGCTCGAGTAGGATTAAGCTTGAACTTGTGAGCTTTGAACTGAGCCAAGCTAGAATAGCCAAGTATTTGGCTCGGCACGACTCGACTCAAATCCACCCCTACTTGCATTGATGCATTCTTAAATTAGGGTTTCCAATCCATGGGCTCGGGCCTCCAACTAGGTGATTTACCGTTGTAAGGAAGTACGACCAAACTTCTTAATCTTTAGATTCTTAATGACCTAATTATCAAACTTTGTAAAGGACTCCAAACAATTATCAATAGTTTGTTTTAGGGCTGCAAATACCAAACAGTATCTATTTGCTCAAGCCTAAACTCGAATCCCATTCAAAGAAATCAATCCAATGTCCATCCAGTTATAATTTGATGAATATGGATCTCATATCCAATCCCACAATATAAACTTTCACATTTATGCTTATATTTATATGAGATTAATATGTATTACATTTGGATTCAATGTTGCATGTTTGAAAGTCATAGACTCAAGTCTCATAAAAGTTATTCTCCCAGTTTGGAAGGAGTATAAATACAAATATAGAGTGCAAAACATTGCATTTTGTATGTATTTATACTGTACATATTTATATTTTTTATTAAAAATCAGTTTGGAAAGAGTACAAATACAAATATATAAATATGTACAGTACAAATACATACAAAATACAAGATTTTACACTCTACATATATGTATGTATATGTATATGTACTTCTTCCAAACTGAATCTAAGCACTCTAAATTCCCTCAAAAAAAGATATACGCATTCAATGATTCAACACCCTAAAACTCCTACTTTAGCTTTGGATAATGATAGAAAATGGACTCTGGGTCTTCAAATTCTTGCTAAAGGCATCCCCGTTAGAGCATTAAATAGATCAAATGGTGTTCCCCATTATAAGAGTAGACTTTTCTTCTTTCTATGACCATTGCACCCTATCAAGGCTGAAGGTAATGTTATCTGTGAGGGCGTTAAGCTTTGCTTGGAGTTAAATTTAAGTTTTAAACAATATTGGTGTTGAATTCGACAACCAGATTATTGTGTTTTTAATAAGAACCATGAGAAATCGCCCTTTGAGTGTATTCTTTTTCACCATGTTTACAGAGAAGCAAATAGATTTAATTTGAGAGTTTGAGAGCTTGAGAGCGCATCGGTTCTGCCTTAAGAAGCACCTACTCTGATTTTAATTCTCTGCCTAACAATGCCAAAGATTTTCTTTCTGATGAGCAGTTCTACCAATTACCAGGTATGTTTAATTCCTTTCTGTTTTTTTCTTTTTTGTAGGTGGGGCTTGAAAGTATTAGGAGATAGTTTTTTTTTAATCTCAAGTTCAGGGCAAGACAGGCTAAGTCCTCCCCTGTTTTTGTTTTTTTGTTTTTCATGATTTTTAATAAAACTAACAAGTGTGCATGTGATTTGCACATGACAGTTCTAGATGATGATAATGATGGTAATAATTATTCAAAATTTTTATAAAATACATGTTATTTTTATTTTTTTATTATTAATCAGGCAAGTTACAAAATCCAAATCCAATTACATTAACACCTCATATTGGGCTGCAAAGTTTTGGTTATCATTGACAAGTATACCTAATTGACTGGACTTTTCTTTTTGTAATATTTTATATTCTTAGTGTATCTTCTTTTGTTCATTTATCAAATAAAAAATGTAAGATTTAAAGAGAAAAACTAAATGAGGTGAAAAATATTAGTTCAAATTATATTTAAACCTCACAATTAAATAGGAATTAAATTCAAAAAATGAGTATTTTAGTCAAAAAGAAAGTTCACAATCTCATTCAAATTTTTAATTGTAGTATAAATATAGAATTATAGATGTGCTCAATTTTTTTCTATAATATTTTATTTTAATGTGTAAACTAATTCTATTATGTACACTTATTTTTTGTATAATATGATAAATATATGATATTATACATGTGCCCATATGTTTTTTTGTTCTTGTAAAATTTATGTATTTTTTCATTTTTTGTGTTTTTATATTTTATTAATTTTTATTATTTAATTATGACATTAAAAGTTGACACATTTGACCCAAAAGTTGAACTATTATTCTCCACCAAATAGTAAAATAATCTCATTTTTTATTAGTTTTAGATTATGTATTTCATTTTTATCTTTAATAAAAATAGCTCTTATTTATTATTCTTATTTTAATAATGGTATGGAGAGAGAAGTAAACTTTTGGGTTTAAAAAAAAAAAACAACTTCCTAAAATTCTCACAATCCATCCACTCCTTAATGTTCTCTTTTGCTTCCTAAAACCTTAAATTAAAAACCCATCCAAAATATGTCTTCCCCTAATAAATAAATAAATAGATAAATGACAATGATAAAAACCCTCTTTTGCTGTTGTCATCTCTAGCCACTGTCCTTTTTTTCTCTTTTTACTTTTTTTCCATTTAGTTGTTTCTTTCTCATTTTCCCTTGATCAAAAGATTATTTATAAGATTCCAAGAGGATGAAATAAACTTAGTGGGTGTTTGGCATCAATGTCGTTTTCTGAGAAAATGACGCCATGTAGGCACCACATAAAAAACGTGGTGTTTCAAAAATGACCTCTTGTTTGATACCGTTTTTATAGGAATAAAAAACGTTGCTGCAGACCACACATTGGAAATCAGGAAAGTGTGGTATGAAGAAATGCCAAATTCAATGTTTTCTCAGAAAACAGCTCCAACTCATTGCTGCCCACGRTGCAATGATATATCATCAATGTGGCATCATCTTAGACATTGGATAATATAGGCCCATGCTGAAAATAGTTCTACAACACTGGTACCAAACAAAACCAATGCTATTTTCCCAGAAAACAGCTTATGTGGCAGCACTGTTTTCTTACCACTCAACATAAAACAGTGTTGTGTTCCCAGCACCGATGCCAAACACCTACTTAGATTTGAGAGTAACTTAGGCATGGAATTACTTTTATGGATTCAGTCATTCAGCATTGCCCAGAGTGGTTGAGCTTAAAAGACCCTGAACACCAAGATACCTTAATCAAGCTTGTTTTTGGCCCATGCAGTTCGTTAGTTGCAGATTGTACCCATCTACAGTTCAGTTCGGCTCTAAGCCTCTAACACTCTTTACATGTATTACTACCAACATTCTTGGCCCACGTTACTGGAAAAAAATAAGGTTAGTCTTAGACAACAGATAGAAAAAAATCAGCCCAACTTCCTCGTTTTTGTCGTCTGTTTTGTGGCATATACCAACTTGCTCTTGCACCACACAACGAGAAGTCCACATCCCACCCACAAAATCATACATTTGCCTCACTCGAGAAGGTGCCAACTAGCTAATTGATAAAGTTTCTGTTAATTATAGCGGAGACTTGAGATCAAGTTCTATCTTTCACCAAGATTGGGGGTTATTGGGTACAGAATGTGGGCTCCTGATCATGGGCTAGACTTGGGCTTAGATTTTCGATAATTTGAATGGACTCAACTTGAAGTGTGGCCCATGAAGAAGTTTATGGGCTAGTTCAATGTATACATAACTATATAGTAATATAAGAGAAACATGTTCACCCAATGTACTTACAGAGTTTACATCTCCGCCCCACAACGCATTCCAGCTGTGTATTGGGAATATCTCCCGATAATGATACTAGAACCGATGATGTCATCATTGGGAGATGCTCTCAATACACAACAGGGATTTGCTATAAGACGTTGTGGGGCGAAGATGTGGTCTCGTACTTACAAGGGTGTTCCTACTTAGACTCGCATAGGAGTGGTTACAGCAGCTCCCCTGTCAAAATCTATATATTTCCAATTCAACTTCTCTCTATCATGGTCTTACCTATAAGTAACCAATCCATTATATTCAGCTGTGCGTGCAGCAGATCCCAACGCAAGTTTTACATGGCTAATATGTTTTTGTTTTCCTTGCTTAGGCCTCACGTCCAAATGACCATTTCAAARTTTTAGGTCATTTATTCGACTTATTCCTCTTGCATGTGTCACTTSCGATTTGCATCAAATGAGTTAGATGATCACATTCAAATTTCTAGATCTATCACATTATTGATTAACAAAGATAGTAATCGGAGAC